CCATCCATCCCCTCTTATCTATCTATCTATCTATCTATCTATCTATCTATCTATCTATCTATCTATCTATCTATCTATCTATCTATCTATTCAATCTTCTACCTTTCTGCCTATGCAAGGAGGTATTCTGGCCCGATGAAGATCAGCTGCTGACCCCTATTATAGGTCAGTGGCCAAATGATGGATATGAATGAGCAAAAATCTTTGAACATTTGTTCTTTCCTAAATCAGCATCCTAAACGGACGTTGGTATGGACTTTCTGATGTCTTAACAGTTAAGTGCCACTAATTTGATCTCAATGCCTGGAGACTGCATGGACAAATGTTCACCCTCTTGACCCGTCCCCAAGAATAACCTGTAGCTCTTCCAAGGACAGTCCTGTAATTTTGTTAATCTCATCCATCAATCTCACTGCCTTCCCCTTCTGCTTCCCCCCGTCTTTCCAAGAATAGTTGTTTTTTCTAGTCCTGCATGACATGCACAAATTATATGAGCTTTTCTAACAGACAAGTAAAAATAGAGGCTCTACCTCGACCTCACCAACGTGGATCACCGCCCACGTGTAATTGGACCAGACTGTTCATGTATTCTTTGAGTGGCAAAAGACAGATGAAATAGTAATTAAGTCTGCCTTAGTAAGTTCTGAAAGAAGACACCAGTGCTTTGCACTATGAAGCCCCTCTTTCCAGCTTGGGGGTCTTGTCACTTTAGGGCCATCATTTCTTCCTGAAAGATGTCAATGTGGTTGGTTTTGTGGAAGAGACGTAAGAAAGCGCCAGCATGAGGAATTGGTCCCAAAGTCGCACACCAGCCAATGAAGGCTTCATACCGACTCCAAACCCTCTTTGTAGGAAACCATAAAGTTCATCCCAAGCCCCTGATCACAGATAGAGGGTCACCAGAACGTAGATAATCCAACCAATGGACACGAAGACTCCAAAGGAGAGGCTGAAGAAGACGAGCAAACGAGCTTTCCGAGAAGCCATCGTGGCCTGGATGAAGTCCCCTCGGTTCAGCGCGGCTCGTGTCTGCGTGAGAAAGAAAATGGAGAGCCTTGGATTGGTTTCCACTTTAGCTGGGTGACAAGTGAGAAAGATGAACCTCCGATCAACGTTCTTCCTTGGAAGCAAGGCAGAATAGATGTCCTTTTCTTCCGCTACTGATCTAGCAACACTGATTTAAATTCTAAGAGCACTTACAGTCACTGAGAGGTGGGCAGGATGCCAAGCTGAATATTTGTTTGGAAGGAAAAGTGCATGACTTGAAAATGCTGGAGAGTCACAGGTTCGATTAGACGGGACATTTCCTCACTAATGAGTTGGACCATATTCTGGCACCACCCAGCCGTCGCTGCCCTGTCCTCACGGCTACCGTGCTGGCTGGATGATGGTTTGATGGCACTGTAAGATGCTATAAGGCAGGAAATAGCCAAGCGGGAGGGAGTTCTTAAGAGAAAACAGCCGGCATTTAAAGAGCCGTTGCTGGCTAAAGCAGACAAAGGGAAGCAAGCAAAATCAATTTGGCCCCCATTTAAAGCAAGTTCATATGTGCGAGGAAATGTCTCTGCAGCACCTGTATGGGTTAAGCCAGTGTGTTTCTCAGCCTTAGCAACGTGAAGATGCGTGGACTTCGACTCCCAGAATTCCCCAGCCAGTATGCTTCCATGCATCTTAAAGCACGCTGGCTGGGGATTCTGGGAGTTGAAGTCCATGCATCTTAAAGCATGCTGGCTGGGAATTCTGGGAGTTGAAGTCCATGCATC